ACACACACACACACACACACACACACACACACGGGTATTCGATTTACTGCTATCTTGTTAAGGGCTTTTGAAATTATGTTAAAGATGGATATTAGCTAATATGCTTAGTTTCTGTAGCATTTGTCAGATTTTGAATGAATGTTGTTCTCTCATCTTATATTTTTTAAAAGATGTTATTACTTTTAAAATATATGATAGAATTTATAAATAAAATTCATGCCATGAGGATAGTTTTGTATATTTGTGAGGAAGAGGAGAGAAGGGGGGATTTTATAATAAATTCAACTTCACTGATACAGGGTTATTCAGATTTTCTATAACATTTTGTGTCAATTCTAAACTAAAATTTTTATAGAGCTATCTATTTCATCTAATTTGCCCCATTTTGGGTATCAAGTGTTGCATAATATTATTATTGTTTTTAATGTGTATAGTATAAAGATAGTTTATATGTATGTATGTAGTTTATAATAGACATTAAATTCGCTTTAATTGCTGACACTGATAATTTTAGTTCTTTTCTCTCTCTCTAAAAGACTACCAATTTATTGTTCTTTTCAAATAGCTAAAACTTAGCTCTTTTAATTGTTTCCATATTTTATTTTATTTTCTCCATTTCTTCTACTAGTTTACTTTCTTCATTACATATTTCATACTTACTTTTCTTATGGAAATGTTTAATATTTTTTATTAGAAGTATTTAAAGTGATAGCATTTCCCCCACATAATGCAATTGATATATTGAATTTTTATTATCATTTATCTAAAAATATTTCCTCTTTTCCTTTGAGATTTATTCTGTGACTCATAGATTGTTTTAGATTGTATTATATAATTTATAATACATGGAGCTTTTCTTACAAATCTTTCTGTTAATTTTTGAGCATTTTACATTTTGTTCCCTCATACCAAAACAGCAAATTTAACCTTCATTTACTTCTTTTCAATATATCTGTATGTTTCCATTTGGAGTATATATATATATATATATATATATGTATATATATATATCATATAAGATGATAGTTGGGTCTTTGATCTTAATAAAGTCTGATAATTTTGGATTTTTAATTGAGATGGTGAATCCATTGATGTTCAACATTATGATTGATATGGCTGGGTTGGATATTTCATTTCTGTTTTTCTCCTTTCTTATTCATTCCTCTATTCTTCCTTTACTGACTTCTTTTAGATGTTTGGATTACTTGAGGGTTTTTTCCTCTTTATCTACTGGCTGAACATCAGAAGAGAAACCTTTGGGAGTGTAAAATGCACACAGAGAAAAGGTCAAAATCTGCCTGACAGAGTATGGAAGCATGTTTGAGCCGGCCTTTGAAGTACTTTTAGAAGTTTGTCATGCTGTGGTTGGGCCATGTAGTTCCCAGGGCTGTCCAGAGGGATGTCATAGAACAATTGCTCAGTGATGCTTCTTCATGCCCAGCCAGGCAGACTTTATTCATGGTCACCATGACAGGTCCAGGGGTTGCTGTAAGGGATAGGTCTGTCTGTGAGGAGTAGAAATTGGATACTGCATGGGGAAGTGGGAACTTACAGCCAAGCAAGTTAGGGTCAGTGGACAGAAATTACTGAGAGGAAACATCAGCTGCCAGGTGGATTTTGGCTAAACCAGCTTCACAGAATGTTTGCTGAAGACAGACTAAGCTGATTTGTCATCACCTGAGGGATGATGGTGAATGAGAAGCCTGATCATATACTGAGGATGGGGAGTTCTGGCTAAACTGACCTAGTGAAATTCTTTTGCTAAAACTGCACTTTACAAGTACTCAGAAAGGCCCAGGAGAAAGTTAGATGCCTGATTAAAGTTTGGTCAAGCAAAGAGTTGTTGTTAGGGGTGAGAAATATTGGCAAATTTAAAGCCTCTGAAATAGTTTGCTATTTATTTACTGTGAAGAAACTTGAATGCTGTGGATTTTAACAACCATTTTCTCAGAATTTAATTAAAACAGTCATTAATATACTTAGCCCAACAATATCTAAGCAGTCACTAAAATGTTACATCACTCTTTAATCAGTAACACCGTGATCAAACAACAATTTATATATATATATGTGTGTGTGTGTGTGTGTGTGTGTGTGTGTGTGTGTGTTCATTTATTTTGGGTTTTTTTATTAAGTTTATCGATACATTTTAGGTATAAAATGCAGTTATATTCATCACTGGGATCTTGTACTTTTACATTATGTACCTTAGTTCTTATTTTTTCCCCATTTCCCTGCCCTCCCTTTACCTCCTCCACCCTTCCCTATTTACAGAGACTTTGTTTCCAGTTTTTCCTTTTCTCGTATTTTTTCTTTTCCCTTCTTTCCTTTCCCCTACCCTTCCCACTTCCCCAACTCCTTTAGACCTTTTCTTCCTATTTCGCATTATCAGTATATTATTTGAACCTTATTTACACTTTCAGTTTTTATTTATTTTATTTTTAATTGACAAAAATGTATATGTTTATGCAGTATAACATGATGCTTCAAAATATGTTTAGATTGTGGAATGGCTAACACAAGATTCATTCACACACTTACCATTTTTTTGTAGATAGCACACTTAAAAAATCTGCTTTGTTAGAAATTCTCAAGGAATCAATACATTGTTATTAACTATAGCCACCACACTGTAAGACTTGAACTTAAACCAACAATACTTTTAACTCCACATAATTTCTATAATTTTTATTTTCAAAAATTTATAATGATTAAACATTTTTTATTATATTTTACATATTTCAATGCTCAAAAATGTTTAACTGGAGGGAAACAGTAATGTCTGGTTGCCATCTTGGTTAATCCATACACTGAATAGATCCTAACAATGGCATAAATACTGATAGATGTATTGTGATTATGTACTATTTATAGTTTGAGATTTAAAGTAAAAATAAGCATAACTTGTGACTGTCTACTGACCTAATAAATTGGTATTACATATAAATAATACTAAAGAGTAGAATTCCATATGGTATAATATTGTATACAATTTCTCAACATTTATTTATTGCGATTTATTTTTCAGAAATGAAATTCTAATACTACCACTTCCAGAGAAGTAGAAGCCACTATATTTTCCCCTACTCTCTACACTAAATACAGCTGAAACCTTTGGACATCATAAAACAAATATAAGACTGAAAGATGAAGAGAAGAGGTAGACCAGATAGAGATTTTGACAGCTAAGAAATGACAGCATGAATAAAAACAATCCACTAAGTTTCTTGCAGTTCACTAGTAACGCGCAATTGAACAGAAAGCTGACATCTGAAGGGAAATGACTCCATTGACATAGAGAAAGTCAATCCTGATGCTGGCTAGCCTGACTTATCTTTCACTTTTTTCAGATAATTTATTTGTAGAAGCCTGTCTTGAAGTCATCATTATTAAATGGTGCAAACTGATGAAGCTCAGCCCTTTCATTTAAAAAGCCTTCATTTTCAAGCATCATGTCTCTGTCTTAAGTTTCAAGATTCTATTTTGCAGAGTAAATGAAAGGCAATGACTTCATTTCTTATTCTTCAAATCACCTGTGGCAAGCAGCTCTCAAATTTGGATGCCCAACAGTAGGTGCTTTTAATCTGATGCAAAGGGCTGAGCAAAAGCAGGATGATTCTATTCATAACTCAAAAAGTCATCCCTTTACTTATGCAAAGAAAAGACTTATAAAGTATGCCATACAAATATTAGCAGTGATAGGTATGCAATGGTGGAATTCAGGGTAATTTCCTCTAAGGTTTTCTAAATTTATTATGATAAATATAATATATATTGCTTTTATCTAAACATGTAGCTATTTGGTTATTATATGTTAAGATTATATATGTGTCACACATATCACATGTTTTTGCATTAATTTTGAATCTCAGATTTTAACATTTACTCTGAGTTGCTAAAATTGCTATAAATCTTCTGGTTTTTCTATTATCTTTATAAGATCATAAAATCTAGAAATGGAGGGAGGGGAGCAGGAAGGAAGGGAAAGACATGTTATATACATGTACAAACTCCCCACCGTAAATGTGATTATTATGTACTGCAAACATGTACTAATAAAAGTTTTCAAAACTTTAAAATATTTTCTATTTTTAGTAAGAGACCCCTTGCTGAGAACCACGATTGGTTTTATCTGACAGATTTGTAGGATGAATAAATGCCACCATTTCTCTGCCTTCTTTTTTCAGAGAATTCCTAGGCTCAAATTACAGTGAAACGTTCTACACCACAAAGGGAAAATTGATCACCAGGCATCCTCAGATAACGGTATCGTACATAACCTTCCTGTACTGCTTCTTTGAAACTATTATTTCCTGATGTGGTTGAATCCCAATTCTAGCTTTACAGATTATCCTACTTCACAAGTGAGTCTTGAGTTCCTTACTCTTTATGAATGTTGCTAGTGTAAAAAGCATGAATGATCCTGTGAATACGAAAGGAATCTGAGCACAACAAATAAGCAAACCAATGACTGCAATGTGTCTTCCTTTACTATGCTGACTCCTGCTACCTTCTGTAGTGTAAAGTGGAAGAAAGGCAAAGCAGGATGCCAGTGAATTATGTAGAAGTCACCCTCATGGGTTTGTAGTTTAGGGATAAAAATCTAAAATTGGAAACCAATTTGAAAGCTCCATCCAGTTGATTCATATATGGGTTTGCAACCCCTCTGCCCAGTTCTTCTGATGCACCCACATTAAGGATTCTTCATTTTTCAAACAATCTTTTGCATCTATAATTAATATGATTACCGTAAATATTGATTCTGTTTTAACCCTCATTCTTCTTTCCAGAACATACCCTCTACAGCCTTTTATCCAAGAACAGCGTTACTCCTGCACACTTTCCTCTATTTAAAGCAGCTGTCAAGCTCTATGAGATCTAAGTTATCATGCAATCTTGAAAAATGGCACAAGAGGAAAACTGGGTAGCATTCTTTTGTTCAGGTGGTGATTATTATCCTTGAGTGTATGAGGTCCCTGGAGAGCCATGGAAAATGTCATCCACGGGGGGAGTTGAGCAGATGGAAATGATAGGAAGAATAATTACCCGGTGAAACTACCAAAAGCAAAACACCAAGTATAAGTAATAAAGATGCCAGATTGATTGAAGCAGAGAGGCAAAAGAGAAAGGCATGGAGAGAAAGGTTGGAGAGAAATGTCTAATTTTAGGGATCATAGGCAATTTGATTTCATAGGCAACTGGGAAATTATAATAGTGCAAGAGGATTCATTTGTCAAAGGCCTTGGGATAGATTAAAGAAGTAATATTTATAAACAAAAGACTCACATATCTGAAACTAGTGTCAACACCCAATAGACTTAAATTTGTGAGGAAAATATCCATATATGGCTTTATACAAAGTAATCAGTAATTAAGATAAAAGATTTCTAAAGCAGGCTCCAATATCCATAAATAAAAGAAAGCAATGAATGAATGCATGGAAAAGTACATAACTTATCAGAAGGAAATACTGGTATATTCTGCACAAAAATTACATATAAATATCTTCATAAATCAATATTTATCCTTACATTAAGAGACTCTTCTGGTATTATAGGAACACTGTTTTTATCAAGGATCCATTATACATGAATTTGATTCTTCTGCAAGCATCAGCACATGCAATGGTCTAAGGTAAGGCAGAGTATCTCCCTATTTGCTTTATGAATTTTATTATGGATTTGAAAACATTCACTTTATTTATTTCTTTTACTTACTCTGTGAATAGAAGAAATAATGAAGAAAGGACTGCTGTCTATTTTTAGCAATAAATATGAGCTCTACCCTATGATTTATGGTTATGTTTGACACAGAAAACATCTAATACACAGCCCTTGGTGAGATGCATTTCTCAGTGTGTGATCAAGAATCTCAGAGTTGGAGGATTGCTGGACATCACCCAACCTGTGCTCTAATGTTAGAGGTCAAGATGCTGAAATTAGAGACTTGCTCCTGAGTATTCAACCTGCTAGTGATAGAACTTAATCCAAAATCGACTTTCTTGACTGCCAGTTCTGTGAATTTCCACTACACCACAATGCTTTAATAATTTAGCTTTTTATAAATTTGACTGCATTTTTAGTTGTTAGAAAGTAAAAGATCATCTATGCAGTTATTAGTTAGTTACTTGTAGATCTTGAATTCAAGGATGAAAGAGGAGGATGTACAAAGACAGATGATAAGACAAGGAACCTCTGTCTTCCAAGGCCTTCCTTTGAGTAATTCACACCATTTTCACAAATGAGTAACCTTTAGTGACAAAATTACCCATAGTAATATTTGTACCTTTACATGCTTACAAGTAATGCTTTAATGGCAAATTCATTAAATTTTTGCAAAAACTCAGGCAAACACAGGTGGGGATTATTTCTGTGTCTCAACTCAAAGCCAAAATTGTACTAGCAGAATTTCTCTGAAAGATTTATATAAATGGACTTATAAAAAGCTATTCATTCAGTGAAAGACCACATGTAATCTCATTTCTTTATCACTCAAAACACCCAATTACAAGTTTACGTGGTCTTGACCTTGGAGTTTCCCTTTCTTGAAAAGGTAAAGTTTAAAAAAATGAAATAGTGACGTACCTTGAATATACATTGTGTTTCAATTTTTACAGTGGATTCTTCAGAGTAAATGATCAAAGGTATCTTATCAAACCAATGAAATACTCAAATGAGGAGGAACATTTGGTGTTCAAATATAACCCAAGGGTGCCGCATGCTGTCAATTATTCTTGTGCAGAGCTCAATTTAAGCATGAAATCTGTTCCAAAAGATACTACATATAAGGATAACCACACAGTGGAAGTGAGTACTCTATTTTTAAGGCCTCTTCACTGCACATAAAACTCCTCTTATTTCCTTTATGATCTTAAGAGAGACTGTGAGTCCAGATAGTGAAATGAATCTGCTACTCTAAACCTGACACATCATTGTTTGAAATTTCAGGTTCAACCTTTTGTTTGATATCTGTGTAGAAATGTTCACTGACTACAGTACATCCCAATTTGTCCATCAGTGTGAAAAAGGGATACCTCTAAACTAATGCCATACATGGTCGGCATTGGTACCATATGTGATTTGAAGGATGAAATGTGCAGTGGCCTGAGACCTATCCTAGACATCATATTTCCTTGTCTTCCCTGCACTTTTGTGGGAGTTGTTGAATACAAGCTTTCATCAGGCCAAATTATTCTAGTGGTTAAAGGCCACCAAGGATAATAAGCTTCATTTCCGGTGGGATGGTTGTGCAGAGTCCTCAGAGTGTTGGGCCTTTCTGTGCAACTAGTTCTTATTCCCTTAAATCTCTGCTGGGTGTTGGCTTGTAAACTATATGTTTGCTTATCTTCTTCTCATGTTCATAGCCTAGATAGTACCTGAAACATACTAAATGCCTAGCAAGTGTTTCTTGATTGAATAATTTAACAAATAAATAATACCTAGTCTGCAATAGAATGTGTCAATTGTTGAAAAATACCCCTCTGGTTTGTCCTTGGGGGATATACATGCACCTCGGCACATGTTTACTGAAAACTTAGAAGAATGCTCTACTACTTCTATTTTCTAAAAGTAAATGACCTATAATTAGCAATATTTATTTGGGTTTTTTTTTAATTGAGACTGTAAGGTTGGGAGGCAGGAGTAGAAGGAGAAGGAATAGCTAGTACCATCAATAGGTTCAATTTTAACTTTCAGCTATAGATGGGTGCTTTTTACCTGAGCTTAGTTATGAAACATTTACTTTGTAAATGAAGAAAATAACCTAAATATAGATACTGGATTCATTATTATTTATAACTTTTATTTGACCTCAAATTCTACACAATGAAAGAAAGTGTAGTCAAAAATTTAGTGTTGCTTCAGGATTGTTAATATATGACATGTAGGGCCTTATGTTTATGCACTGGCTTTTTTCTATATATTCATAGACTGATTAGATAGATATACACATTTACTTCATCTTCCAATATAAACAATACTAACATTTCTTACCTTGAAATTATTAGATTTTTTTAACTTAAGTGTTAAAGTGAAAAATATTAACATACTTCATTAATTTTTCCATAAATTTCCAGGAAAACCATAAGGAAAAGTATATTGAGCTGTTCATTGTTGCTGATGAGTATGTGGTAAGTTTTCAGATGAACATTTTTATCTTTTTGCATCTCTATAAAACTATAGTGATTCTAAACTAGACAAAATAGTCTCCTAATCAGAGTTCCCTTCTAGGCTCAGCTTTGTGCTTTTAGCTGCCCCAAACAGTGGAATATAAGAAACAATTGGGTCTTTGAACAATGAAGCAAACTAACCCAAACTAGAACAGTCCAACTCATTGCAAGCTTTTGGAAATACTGCACAACAAAAGAAATTGAAAAATGTCAACAATTTACAGTTGACCTCAAAAAAATCCTGAAAATGTTCAAATGCTAAAAATTAAAAAGAAAGTTTCTGTGAGAATAGGAAGTAAAATTAAAATGTTTAGTGACCACTCATATATAGAATGCAGGTATAGGGTTTTGAGGAATTAAATATCCCTTGGAGTGAAAAATTGACATTTGCAAATGAGTGCCCTGTGTATTCCCAGAGCTATACACATTGCCCAATCCTCAAAAAGGAAGCCATAAACATCCATGGAAACTGTAATACATAAAGGAAATGTCTATCTGCCTATAAGCATTGGCAGAGAAAATGTCATGTATGGGGGCAAAATCCCTATGCTTGTGCCATGCACAGATACAGAGCATGATAGTGTGCATATTTTTAGTTGTACACATGCCAAGCAAAGCTTTCAACATAAAAATTGTTTAATGATCTGGTAAACAACTAGAACCCAAGTCAAAAATTCCCCATAAAGACAGTACAATAGCCCAAGGTAAGGTGAGTCACACGAGGAAGAATAAAGCAACATAATGAGAACCAAAATTAGCCTACCAGGAACTGTAAAGCATCCAGTGATATTTAAAATTATTCCATACAATGAAAGTATAGGTTTAAATTTATTGAAGTTATAAAAATAAATAGAAATCAGCATAAAATAATGAGAGGAGATTGGAAAAAATAACAAGCATACTTGAAAAACTATTTTAATATCTGCAAAAGGAAACAGTATATATCTTGGAATGAGTTTAATAGGAAGTTAGACTCATGAGAAGGACAAATCAGTGACTTAGAGGGTGGAGGAGTTAGAAATCTACCACCTAAAGAGCACAGAGAAGTAGAGTTAGAAACAATGAAAGAGCAAATAGGAGACATTAAATGCTGAGTAAAAAAGTGAATATGGGTGATTGGACGACAACTAGCATTTTAGTGATAATTCTTGAGAGTTTTCCAGAAAAAAAGGATGATAAACCAGCTAAAAATGTAGAAGAATTGCAGAATAATGAAGACAAGGCAAAACAAAACAACAAATTCAGCTGAAACAAAGAAAAAGTTTACCTACTGTGAATGATACACTTTTTATCCAATAGGAGATGACATGAGTTTCTAGACTATTAAAAAAGTAACAAAATTAATTCTAAAATTTGGTACTATCAAGCAAGAATAACAGATGGTTGAAAGAAAGAAATCTTACTTAAAATATGGATGTGTTACCCAAAACTAGCAGGGGGAAAGCAGAACATAAATTTCTGCAACTTTGAGAACACCACTCATTGAATATGAGCCTGACAATAAGAGGACAAAGTGCATACATACTCAGTGCTCCCCAGTCCTCACAGTTGGAAATAAATGACTAATAAATTATCTTATTCCTGTGATCCTGAAGATAGCTTTAGCATCTCTCTCTCTGTAACGTACTTTGTACAATCCCTACCAAGTAGTCAACAGAAATCCTGGTATGAGATATATTTACCACCCAAAGTTTAAGGGGCTGGGGGGAAAGAGGACCCCACAATAAATCAGTAGGAGTGTACGGTGTCATAGAAACAAAACTGTTAAGTAATTTCTTAAAAGAGAAAATGATCAGTATTAGACGAGGACAAGACGACCAGAAAGGTGAGACAAAAGTGGTTAGTGGACTTAGGAGGACATTCGTGAACTATCAAGAGTAGTTTCAAGGGAATAGTGGTAATTGCAATCAAAGTATGATGAGTGGATGGGAGATGAAAACTGAAAAGAAGCTAATGCCATATTTGGAATTACTTAGCTATTTCAAATATTAGGACAGCAATGGAGTTGTGAGTAGAGGATTATTACAGAACTCAGGAAAAGCATGTTTATCTTTATCATAGAAGTTTGACCATATGCATGTATCCTTGCAGCACATTTTTTTGTTATTAAGAGTATTTAACTGATAATTAGTAGTAAGATCTTAATACTACCAAAAGGAAATTAAGTCAAAAGAAGAGAACTAAATCAAAATGGGCTGGAGCAGAAAGTCAGTTTTGTCTTCTGAGCTTTACTCTGGAGAGTGGGGAAAACCAGTTTTCTATCTCCCTATGCATATCTCTGGCTCCAAAGAGTCTTTGGATTGTGTGTTCCATCCTTTGTAACTGCTGTAGACTCAGGAAGAGAGATGAAGTGTGTTTGTTTCCAACATAATGCTTATTATAGAACTTTAATAGGTGTTGCTTCATGATAGGATGGGCTCTAAAGAATACCAACCAATTGGTTTATCACTGTAATGAAGCATAATGTATGTAAAAGAGGACCATCAAAATTGGAAAGAAAACCTGAACGTAGTACTAAGCTAAAATATGTCTTCATAAACTGCTGTATCTAGTTATTTAATATTAAAAAAATTCATCTCAGCAGGGCATGGTGGTACATGTCTGTAATTCTAGCTACTAAGGAGTCTAGGGCAGGAGGATCTCAAGTTGCAGACCAGCCTGGGAAACTTAGTGAAACCCTGTCTAAGGACCAAGGGTGTGAGGCATGTTCCCAAGTCCTGAAAATAAAAATCCCTCCATATGTTCTCCAGATCTTGGACAGTTCTTCATTCTTCTTTCTTCGCAGTTCCAATGCATTTTTTCTTTGTAATATTTCATAATGGACAAGGTATTTTGTTGACTTTTTTCTCAGTTCATATCATTAATGAATGATGGTGTAATGTTTTTATTTCCAGTATCGCAGGAATAGTAATCCTCACTATAATCTAAGGAGAAGAATTTGGGGAATGGTCAATTTTGCCAACATGGTAAGGATTGATATTATTTGAATCCAATGAAAAGAAAATGCAAAGAAATGTTTGTATTAGCTCTCTGCTGGACTTTGAAGAAATCTTGATATCGAGGTGGTCCAAGCTCCAGCTCCTCACCAAGTAAACTAATAAACAGAACTCTAATGAAAAATATATAGCAACAAGTCACAGGTCTGACATTTTCATTTTCTAAGTAAATCCCAGTTACTATTTAAATAAGTTTCAAATACTGTTCTCTAATTACAAAATGTATGAAGCAATGTGCCAACTGCTTGAAAACCAAACACATTATAGCTAAATCTCACCACTTTAAATCAGTAGTCTATGACCTTGTATAAAATCTTTCAAGCTATAACTTATTGCCCATGCTAGAAATAATGATTCCTGTAGGTTAGAGATTGTTCATTCAACACTTGAGGGACATTTAACCTGTTCATAGAACATTTAATATATCTGTAGTTTTTGCTGCTCTGACTACAACTACTTTAAACATTTATATAGAGTCATACATGTGAACATACATTTTCATTTATTTTATGTAAATAATTAATTCTGGGTCATCTGGAATATGATGCTTTTTTTTGGCTGTTTCCTGGAAATATTCATATATTTTATTTTAAAATTTTCATTCTGTTCAAAATATTTCTAATGTCCTAGTGGCCTTCTCCGTAATTCAGTTGTTATAGAGAATATTGTTTAATTTTCAAATAGAGATTCTTACATATTTTTGTTATTAATTTCTAATTTTTATTCCATTAAAATTAGAGAATTTGTTTTGTCTCATTTTAATTCTTTTAATTTTTTGAGGTCTGATTTATAGTCCAGAATCTCGTTTCTGTGAACTTGTTCATGCGCATTTGATAAAACAGACAAATAAAAGGGTGTTCTGAGATGGGTGGATAGGGGTCTCTATAAATGTCAGTTATGTCAAGTTAATTGATAGCATTTTCCTGATTTTCTGTGTCTTTACTCATTTTATGGCTACTTATTAACAATTACTGAGATACAAATATTTAATTCTCCAACTATGATGGTGGCTATGTCTCTCTCCTCCCTGTTACCAGATTTTGCTTTGTGTTTTGTGCAGCTCTGCTGTTAGATGCAGAAGCATTACACTGCATGTATTTTTTCTGACTTGACCCCTCTATGGTCATGCAGTGCCCTCTGTGACCACTGTAAACATTCATTGCTCTTAAACCTACTTTGATACTAATAGGGCCTTTTCAGCTTTCATTTGATTTGTGTTTCCAAGATAGGTCTTTTGCTATTTTTACTTTTAATTTATCTTTGTCTTTATATTTAAAGTCATTTTCATGTAGATTATAGATCTTGTGAAAGAAAATCTGATGATTTCTGTGTTTTAATTAGAATATTTATGTGCTTTACATTTGCTGTAATTATTGATATGATTACATTGAAATTGATTATTTTCTCAACTGTTTTTCTTATTTTATGCCTTTTGTTTGCTATATCCTTTGTCCTGCCAGGTTTTGAATAGGACATCCTATTTTAAAAAAAAAGGGGGGGGTGACTTCATAGGGAGGAGGGGAAAAGGAAGAAAGGAAAAAAATGAGAAAAGATGAATAAAATGAAAGTGGCCTTTTGTAACTAAGAAGGGGAAGAGGAGTTGAAGGGAAGGGAGGGGAAGGGGAAAAAAGAGGAATGAAGATACATCATGTACAGGTACAAATCCCCTGTGATGAATGTGATCTTTATGTATACCTAAATCGTACCCGTAAATTAAAAATTAAAAATAATAGGATTTTTTATTAGTACATGTCTGCAGTACATGCAGTTTACAGTCATCTTGGGGAGCCACACGTCATGCAGCTGGGTACATGACACAGCTTCATTCCTCTAATCCCCTTCCCCTTCCCTGCTGCCTCCCTCCCTCCTCCTGTAAGTCCCTCACCCCCATTTTTTGCACTTGTTAATATTATTAATCTTATCTCACAGTGAAATGAGTATTTTTTGATCATTTTGTTTTTATCTCTAGCATTGGCTCTTTAAAAATAGTTTGTATTTAATCATGGGTTTACAATGGGTTTATATATTTAATAAAACACAGTCTAACTTCAAACAGCATTGTACCAGTACATATATTTACCTTATAAACATACTCTAAATTATCCAAGCCTCCTTTCATGATAATATCTTCATACATTATTTAAAAGAGTTTTGTTTCAAGCAATTTTATATATTTTTCTAAAATGTTAAGGTAGAATAAATTGCTCCCATATATCTCAAGCCTAGTTTCTCCTATTATTAACATCTTAGATTTACTTGACAAACTTATAACAATTGATAAAATGCTAACAAAACATTAATATCAAATAAATTTAAATAATTAAATTTTTCTTAGTGTTGAGCTAACATTCTTTTTGTGTTCCAGGATACCACATTACATCTAACCTTCATGTTCCCCAGCCCACTCTTGACTGTGATGGGTTTTCAGGCTTTCTTTTTTCTATGACATTTTCTTATAATTAGAAGATTAGGGTTTTCTGGAGGAAAACCACAGAGATGAAGTCCCATTTCCATCATCGTTGATATGATTCATCATTAATGATCTTGACCTTGATCATCTGGCTTAAGTGATGGTTATCTGATGGTTGTCAGATTTCCCCGCAGTAGAATTACTCAGTTTTCACTTCTCATCATTCTCTATTCTTTGGAAGAATGTTTATGTGCACAACTTACCCTTCAGGCGTGAGGAGTCACACTCCCACTCTTTGAAGTGGAACATATACATGTACAGATATTACTTTGATTCTTCTGCACATGAGATTTCTCTCTTCCCTCATTAATGTATTTGTTTGATTATTTGTTTATATTGTTATAGATTTGTGGATATTTATTTAATACTTTGAGTCACTAATGCTACTCTATTTTGTTACTCAAATTCTTTCAGATTTGACCACTGGATAATATTTTGGTTAGTCTGTATATCCCTTTGGCATTCCCGAATCAATGTGTGTCTGCTTGGTTTTCATATTACTTAGATCTCTAAGCTTCTTGCATCTCTGATTTAATGTATTTTATTAATTTAAAAAAATATTTATGATGTTTTTTCAAGGGCTTTTTCTACTTTATTATCTCTTTCATCACTTTCTGAATATATATGAAACATACACACACACACACACAAACACACACGTTAGAACTTCAATTTTCCCAAAGCGCTGGACCTTCTCTTGTGTTTGTTTCACTCCTTTAATTCTTTATGTTTCAATTTGAATAATTTCTATCAAGCCAACCAAATCCTTTCCTTATTTGTTCTGAGTCTTCTAATATGTTCAAGAAAGGCATTCTTCATCTCTGCTACTGTACATGTTTCTAGCATTTTCACTCAGTCCTGTTTTCAGTTTCCACCGCTATGCTGGAATTCAACACTTCTCAAGCCTGTTTGTACTGTTTTTTGTCTGGTTGTTTCCTAATAACAAATTACCACCAGCTCAGCATCATGAAACTGTGTTCGTTTCTCATCTTGGTTTGTTAGGCCAGCCTTGCATGACTGGCTTCCCTGTTAAGGACCTCATACTGCCGAACTCAAAGATGGGGTCTCAGTTTATTTATGTTGCTGGTAGAAGTCATTCCATGCCCCTCTAGGGCTCAAGTCCCCAGATTTCTGGCTGGGTGTCAACTGGGGCCATCTTGGGTGTCAACTGGGGCCATTAGCAGATGCTCTGCTAATTCCTTCACACACAGTGCCACCACATATTCTTTACACCTCAGCAGCTTCTCTAGTCTAGCGGAAGAATCTGTGCTACTTCGAGTTGCTGGTTTTCCTTATGAAGGGTTAGTTTGGGTTTATCCACAGTAAATTCCCTTTTGTTTAATGCCACTGATTACTACCTTTGTCATATAGCATAACCTAATTATAATAACAAAATATACACAGTCCTGCCCTTATTGCAGGGGTGGTAATTGTATAGTGTTTTTGTATCATTGCAACCATCTTAAAATTCTGCAAACCACATCCTTCTTTTCCACTAGGTCCTTTAACACCAAAAATCAATTTAAATTTCCTGTCAACCACTTTCAACATGTGAGTCACCTGTGAGTCCAGTTTTGTCTACTCTTCTCTTGAACAATGGGCTGTTTTCTTGTGATCTTTCGCATGTTCCACATTTTATTGGATAGCAGACATTTTGAATAGAGTGGTAGAAATAATGAAATAGTCTTTATGCCTGCACATGGTACACCTTTTCTTTTGCTGGATTATTAGCATGTTGATTTGAATCAGTCTTGTCAGAAATTGAGCTGGTTTGGGGTTTTGTCATTGCTATTGTTAATTTCAGAGCACCATCCCTTTGAATTTCATTAGCTTATCTTGAGTTTAAGGTGGGTCCTGGATGGTCGGAAGTATTTGTCCATGTTCTCGTTCCACTTTGTGCCTTCACTTATCTCCGAGAAGATTTCCCTTAAACTCTCATCTCTTCTTCAGTAGTCTTCTGCTGCTGTTAGTTACCCATTGCCTGCTGTCCTAGTTGTGGAGCGCAGAACAGCCTCTGTTATGCTTTCTGTTTCTGGCCATAGGGAAGCCCTGTCCATGGGCTACTGTGTGGAGCAGTTCTCAGGATCCATCCACTCTCCTTCAACATTGACTGGAGACCTAAATGGGTCAGGGCTTGGAACAGCGTCCTACCTCTCCTTCAGGAATAGAAGGACCTTCTTTTCCTTCTCCTCAGCCACATAGGCCTTTAATTGAGTTCTGGGGATTAAAATAATGTTTACTGCAGTGGTCACAGCAACTTGCAGCTTTTGCTCCTAGAGGGAGGGTCCTGTATAGTTTATGAGTTTTTGCACAGGAGCAGCTGTTCACAACTGTCAGGACCCTATTGCTGAGGAAGGGCATCTCTAGTCGCCTTCTCTGCTCTCTTTCCTTCCGGTAAACACCTCCAGAAGGCTCATGCAGCAAAGCCCATGCACAGGCACGTTTGTGTCTCTGATGGGGCTCTGCATTCTCATTTGATCCCCCCTGGGCCTCTAGCAAT